GTGGAGGCTTAATACGGGGTCTACAATGGCCACGTTCAGCAAGCACAACTGTTGAGTGAGCGCTCAGTATGATTGGCTAATACTTTTAGATCCAGCCAATCATGTTAAGAAATCATTGAGCGCTCACTCAACAGTTGTGTCTGCTGAACGCGGCCATTGATTTCTTAACATGATTGACTGGATCTATTATAAAAGTATTAACCAATCATAGTCCGGTATTCATAGTCCGTTCTTATATTTAAGATCATCTTAAGTATACTCTTAATGTGTTTTCAACCAATCACAGGCCGGTATTCATAGTCCATTCGTATATTTAAGATCATCTTAAGTATACTCTTAATGTGTTTTCAACCAATCACAGAGCCGTATTAGCATCTTAAGACAACACTTAAGATGATTTTTAAATAAGAATCGACTATGAATACCGGCCATACTGAGCGCTCACTCAACAGTTGTGTCTGCTGAACGCGGCCAATGAGAGTCGCAGAGTCGCGGTCGTAAGAATAATCGACTATGATTGGTCAATTCGGCGCGTACGGCGACGAATCAAAAATATTTTTAATTTCAACGCAGGAATCTTATAGCGCGCTTCTGATTGGTCGACTCGCATTGCCGCACGCGTCGCCGCATCTATGTGGACTCTTAGCTTTAGGCCTACCGCTTACTTCGAGCGAGATAGTAGACCAACGCTTACGGTCGGAGACGCGGTTTGTCCGACGTTTTACGGTAAGTTTTCGGGGACATTCGCGCGTATATCGTTGCGCAGCTATTCGTACGCGTCGCTCCTTCGCTCCAACAATCGCGTCGCCGCGCATATCCGTGAGCCTGCAATCTCTCTCGCGCGGTAGACTGCACTTCCGAAATGTACCGTACAACGGGCGACCCGTCCGACCACCGCCGTGCACGGCGGACGCGCGGCGTCGTTTTCATTCGGTCTCGATTTGAATCGCGACACTCGACGACGATTCTCCCCCGGGATACTCGTTCGGCGTCACTGCCGCGTCCATTATTAAAACCGCAAGCTTCAGCGCGAGGCATCGACATATGCGCCGTGCGTCGGACTCGCTTCCTCCGCTCGACGAAAGTTTCAACGACTCGGGAGGCGAGCGCGAAGATAACCGCGTTCCGCGAATCGAGTTGAAGGAACGAGCCGCGCGCGCGAGAGGAGGAGGGGAAGGATGTTAGATCCGCGCTCGTAAATAAGTCACCGTTCGATGTCGCCCGATTTATTATCGAGGCGATGACGCGCGCGCGACCCGGGGATTCGTCCCGCCGGCGATCGCGGCGTTTTCGCGACGGTGCCGCGCGCTCGCGAGGACACCGCCCGCGCC